GCAAATGAAGTGAAAAAAGAGAGTAATATCAGGAGTAAAGCAGGAGTCGGGGCACAGACCAGCAACTGTATTTATAATCATGAGCTGTTTTTGGGAGTAGAAATAGGAGTATGCATTTCAGTCCAACAGTCTTTGCTGGTGAATGAGAAACAGTTTCACCAGAGAGTACAAAAGTTGTACCTTAACTGTTGGCATGATTGACTTCCAACAGCCTGTCAATGGGACGCTGAAGAAGCTGCATTTGAAACACTCTGTCACAGTTGTGTACTAACCCCTGAAAGGAGACAGTGAGCGGCCTGCAGGCTTCTTTGGGGCCAAATGCTAAGATGCTTCTATTGTCCTGAGAGAGTTCATTAAATTCATTGGTTTGACCTACGATTTTGAAGACCAAAAGTCCAGTGAGTTGGAAACCCTGAGTCAGCCATACAAATTCTCACACAAAATGGCCCCTAGGTCCATTCAAACCATGAATCTGTGCGTAAAGGGGACCCTTTCAGACCATCGGCTGTGATTTTCTTTGAAAGCAGAGAGAAAAGGGGTAGATCTGGAACAATTTCCTACCATAGCAAATGCATTCACAGTGTTTTTGTGACACTTAGCAATATAAACACACAATTTTGATGTCAAAGGCTGTCGAGAATGGTGTTTGGAGAGATGTGTTCTGAGAAATGTGTCTTCAGTAAAATCTGTTTAGTGTGCTCATTCAGTGGGTCACGTTTAATGCGGTCTGCTCAATAAGTTTTGTTTTTAGTGATGAATTCCTTTAAATGTGAGTATTGATGTAAGCCTGCTTGATAATTTGCACAGTTTTAGTGCATGTGTTTAGTGTAGTTAGTAGGTTTAGTTTGTTTTTGTCAGTTTTACTGAGGTGTTTAGGGTAGTTTTGTGGCCTAACTGTAGTTAGTAAGACAGAAAAAAAATACATCGAATACACTCATACAGAAACCTATTTACTATTACATATAGTCAAACACGAAAAGTACATTAGAATCAAAACATAATCATACATACATTTATACTTTGCACACAGTAATGACACATCTATTCCTTTGATGTGGTGACCTTAAAATTTATATGGCTGGGTTGTCTCTTTCCCCCACAAAAATCAGACAGCACAAAAGTGAAATTTTGTGTTACTATAAAACAGACAACATGGTCCTAATACATTGATACATGATTATGGGCATGCAATGAGCACAGAGTAGAGTGTAAAGGGTACAAGCAGCACAGAGGAGACTCTGTAATGGGTATAAGAAGCACAGAGACTCCATAAATGGAGCAAAAGGAGCACAGAGGAGACTCTATAGATGTGCACAAACAGCACAGTGAAAATGGTACACAAAGAGCACAGTGAAGACTCTGTAAATGGTATACAAACAGAACATTGAAGACTCTGTAAATGGTACACAAACAGTGCAGCGGAGACTCTGTAAATGGTACACAAACAGCATAATGGAGACTCCGTAAATGGTACACAAACAGCACAGCGGAGACTCTGTAAATGGTACACAAGGAGCACAGTGGAGACTCCGTAAATGGTACTCAAAGAGCACAGTGGAGACTCTGTAAATGGTACTCAAAGAGCACAGTGGAGACTCTGTAAATGGTACACAAACAGCACAGCGGAGACTCTGTAAATGGTGCACAAGCAGCACGGTTGAGACCCTGTAAAAGGTACACAAACAGCACAGTGAAGACTGTAAGTGGTACACAAACAGCACAGTGGAGACTATGTAAAGTCACAGTAAACATATTTTGTAAACAGCTATGTGAACTGCAATAGCACAGCTAATTTAAATTTGCCTCCTGTATATGAAACAGACATTATATGGAGAATACAGTTACATGACAGGGGTAAAGAGGTGTAATTAGTGTGTAGTGTACATACATGAGTGTACATACAAAATGTATATAAAACATAAATATAAAAACACAAATAATTTAACTTATAATATTGTATTTCTATTTCTAAAACGATTTTCTGGTATTACTCGTAATTTTTCTATTTCCCTAGAACACTTTCTGAGATTTTGCTTACAAAAATACGTATTCCAGAATAATTTAATTGACAGGTTAAACTTGCACATACAAATTTTATACATGAAGCACTAATTTATGTTACTTGAATTAAGGAAGTTAAACGGGTAGAGTAATGAAGCCTTTTTTTTTGCCTGTGCTTTTCCCCTTCGCCTCTAGTCGGCCACCTCACGATAGCGAGAGGTCAAAACCATTTGTCGATCTCCAGTCGGGATAACAAATAAGGATGAGCTTCCCTGAGAAGATTCCCACTGAGTGCGCAGCACCTGCCGAAATATCAGAAAGAGCGTTTAAAGAGATGTGAATAAAAACAATTAAACGCAATTTCGCTTATTCATTATAGGCATTCTTCGTGTTTAATAAGAACCACGTGAAGAAACAGGTTTCACGCGGTATTATATCGCTATGTCAGCGTCTAAGTTGTAAGTATGCAAATCCAACAGTGAGAGAGAGAGAGAGAGAGAGAGAGAGAGAGATACAAAAATTGGATTCTAACACTTTAATTATTGTCTTCAGTACTTCTTTCTGGATTATACATAAACTCTTCTATTGAGTGGTTTAAATTAGTGTCATGCAAATACATACAGATTGAGTCAAATCAATTCTTCGTTAGATTATAAGACTATCATTAGGTCCTTTTGGTTCCTAATGAAATGAAAATGAAGAAGTGATGGGGCGGGCGCGAGCTAGAACGAGCGGAGGAGGCCTGGCACGCGGCAACGCAAATAATGAAGCGCTCTGTACCTGTAGCTTCTCTTTAAGGGTTTAATTGCTCATAATTTGTCCAGTGCAGACCTGCTATTATGGTGCACCGAAGTTGGTACCAAATTACACCATTTAAACCAGTCGAGTGGTATTTCCCGTACGGTTGAGAGTTTCCTTTCATTTTGTAAAATAAAACAAACAAGTCCAGTTGTCGTTAGACGGGTAGCACTGGTTCTGAAGAAAAGAAAATTAATCTTACTTATCAGGCGATATAAGATTTATTGTAATCTCTGGTTGCGCAAGAAATGCAGTTTATATATCGTAAAATAAAATTATATATAAACAGAAAAATGGACATGTGTACTCAATGGCTAATGTAACAAACGTACAAAACTTATAAAAGCCATATAACGCATTTCATATTAATAAAAAATACACGCGAATGTTACTTTAAAATCCCTTTATTAGACGGACAGACCGTTTGATATTAACATTCTTAACATTTTAATAAATTGCATCGTTACCAAATTGGGTTGTGTGTTATGTTATAACATTTATGTACATATATATACATTTTCTGTACAATAATTTTTTAAATAAATATTATATATGCTTACTAAATATGTATATGCACCATTATGCAAATACTGGTATTCAACCACTTTTGTTGCATTATACTTTATGTAGCTAATTATTAGTCAGTCATTATTCTAATAATTTACTGATACTGGTCATAGTAAATGAGCATCATAATAATATATCATCAATAACACAATGAACTGATTCGCTAAATCGGAATAACGCAGATATAATTGTGCACAATTAAATAGCACAATCACGTGAAAAGTAAAAAATTGATATCCTAATAAAAGGAAAAAAATATTAGGCCTATATCAAGGCCGTTAAATGAGAGAGGATAGGGTCATCAAACCCACATTCCAATGTTTATCCGCACGTTAATAGTCCTCTCGCTTTGAAGGTCTTGTTTAGCGGTCCTAAAGTGAAAGAAAATGTTTTCCTATTACTTACTACAATCATAGCGGGGGGGGGGGGGGAGTTCGAGCGCCACGCATTCGCCCTCTCTGTCACAGAGTCGCCTTTGTGTGCGCCTATCCGCCGCTGTCACACACTTTAATTCGAGCCTCTTTCTCTCGCATTGAAAACTCTCTACAATGACATTCAATAAAGCCCTGCGAGTGAAAACCTGGTTATTTTTATATATTCTTTCCCGGACCCCGCGGGGGCCCGCGCGCAGGAATTAATCACTGGTTTTTAGCCGCACTGCCTGGAGACTGTGACTTGTCCTTTCAGTGACTAGAAATGATACATTGGCCTAAAAACGGTCAAATACTTTCACACGTTTTAAATACGAACTGGCACTCACGCGTTTATGTAGACGTTTTACTTTATGCATTTATTAAAAGTTCTGGTTATTTAACAAAGGTGTATATATATATATATATATATATATATA